GTGTAGACAAAGAACAATCCTCGCTGTAAAATTCAAAATGTATTCTGTCCTACAATGTAATCCTATTTTTTACAATTACATTCTGGCAGTCTCAGCTGTTTGCACCCGTAAAAAGAAACAATTGGCAGTATAAATGTAATGAAATCATCAAGAATCTCTAGACGGCTGTATTCTAAGTAGATTTGAGCGAATGTGGCCAAATTAAAAAAATGTATGGATTTTAGGGCAGCAGACACAAATATGTTGCGTTAGACACTCTGCATTAGTAAAGCTGAAGTTTTGACTGAAACAACATGTGCCTCTGTGTGTGTTTGCACACTTTACTAAATTGTCTAGATATTGTGAACTTTACTGACAAACTACATTATACACAGTACTTAAACTGAGCTGCATGTTTCTGAGTAAATGGCTGCTGAGATAATGAGACATCAGGAATAACTTTTTTCAACCCAAAACAACTCTGCAGGGGTTATGCTACAGATTAATTTTACTTCTCTTCACTGCTGCTTTTTGCTCAAAGAGAACAATAAATATCTTACTTGTTGTATATAGCTTATTGAATAGCATTAATGTGAAGAAACAGAGTTTAATTTAGGTTAGATTTTCAGGCTAATGACTGGTTTGAGTCATAGAAGCTCATAAATGTGATGGAGTTTTATGAGAATTCTGTTTTAAACTTTTACACCGTCGTCATTTTTACATTGAATTGTTATTCAGACAGCAATATTATATTCCAGTCAGAAATCCCCCAGGTTGCACTGGAAATGCTGCAGTTGCTTCTGCTGTTATTTGTTCTCGTAATATATATTTTTTCTTTCGGCTGCTCCCTTCTTCAGGGGTCGCCACGGTGAACTAACTCGCACGAAGACTTAGCAATTGTTTTTACACCGGATGCTTTTCCTGACACAACCACAGACCACTGAGCTACCACAGCCCTCTGTGTGGAGCAGAGAGCTGCCATCTAGGGTGCCCAGGGGAGCAGAAGGTGGGGATTAGGGCCTTGCTCAAGTCAAGTCAACTTTATTTATAAAGCACATTTACACAGCAGCTGACTCAAAGACCCAGAGTGGGGCAAATGAGGGTGGAGGCAGGTGAGGGTGTTTCAACTTTCCCACCCACATTTTTTAATGTTGTCGTTCCGGAGAGTCGAGCCAGCGACTTTCTGATCACCTTCTCTAACCTCTGCGCCACCACTTTACCTTTTCATTCTCGTAAATACCAGTACTCAGGAGTTTATCATAATAAATAACTGTAACCTGAATTTGATGGCTATTTAAAGCGTTACAAAATGCTTTTTTTTAACCCGAACTTGTGACATTTTGATGTTTGGAGCTGTTTTAAGAGCAGCATGCTAACCGTTAGCTCGTCAGACTGATCATCAGATTCATGCTCTGTTTAGTTCTGCAAGCTGAGATCATTAAATGTTACAAACAAGAAGTAAAATATTAATTGTTCATGACCTTTCCACAGAATCCCACTCCCCAAAAAATCAGAACTGCTGCTTTAAATTTTAACAGCAACTTCCTTTTCCAATGCTGAGTCTGCTCTCAGTTATCATCTCCTCCATATTCACTAAGACAAGCCTGCGTGTCTCTCCAGGTACGCGTCAGCGAGCTTCGAGCAGACATCTGCCTGTGCTGACTTTGTGCCAGCATCAAATAAAACCTGGACCAAACCCGCAAACCAAATAATGGAGGAGCCAGGAGGAGACGGCACAGACAAGGACAACGTAACCAGCCACGTCTCTGTGCTGCATGCACGCCTTCCATTTTCACATCGCATCCACAACTCACCGAGCCTGCGCCACTTTGGGGCTGTTCTGCAGAAAGATGCGTTGGGCTTACATAACTGAGGGAGCGTGTTATAAATTACATTTCTCCACAGCTCAGACAAATGCAGTGATGAATAATCTGGTGCAGTGCAGATACTTTAATTTTTCAGGCAGTCTTTGCGCAAGAAGGGCATCTGAGTCTAGAAAGAGAATGACTAAACACACACAGAGTCGATGACAGACCCGAGCAGGCAGCAGCACCGTGATGGACGGGTTGTGTTCGGCTGTGCAAGCAAACCCACAGCACAAATACACACTGAGTGTTTGTATTGAGCAGCTACATTATTGATTATAAATGATCAATTATGGATGACAGCCTCCTCACAGGCATCACAGTCCAGCACCAAGAAAGAGACGAGCTGAACCGCTGCGTACAATCAGCCTCAGTTCAGCTGTTTGCAACACCCTGCTTCATTATTGACAAAAACCGATCAGTTATTGAGTTTGACGATGGTCAGCGGATTCAAAAAGCTACAATATATGGACGTGCATTCCAGTGTGAAGTTTACTTTTACCAGCATTACTCTAATAAAAACACAGGAAGTTTAAGATGAGCCATCAGATGGACAAACAGATTGTAACTGAGACACCACCACAGCCAGTAAACGGGAACATGACTCAGTAACATAAGTCAGGTCTTGAGAGGTGGGGTTCTGTGCACATTTTATAAACAGTTCATATCTTACCTGTTATAGATAGCTATTTCAATGGCTTCAGTTTGGATTAAAAACTATTAGTTTTGACCTGAGGAGATGGTGGTTTGCTCAAGAGGTCAAGACCAATGTGGATTCTTAAAACAACTTAAATCTAAAAGATTAACAGCATTTTATGCAAATGTCACTTTATAACAGTTTGTAGTGCTACTTTTGCATTGCAGCAGTCCCTCGCTACTTCACGGTTTGACTTACGCGGAGAAGCTCTTTTGCGGTTTTTCAACGATTGTCAACTTTAATGTTACTCACGTGATTGGGACGATACGGGATAAAAAGCTAATGAAAAAAATACTTTGGACAGACGCTGCCATTTTGTAGTTTTCTTTCATTTAGCCTACACTGTACGCCCAGTCAAAAGAACTATACTACCCAGAAGCCAACAGTGCTTCCGGCTGCTGCTTTCTGCTGAAATGGAGGGAAAGTTTTGCAACACAAATGTATGCTATCTATTAAGCTCACAGAACTGGCAGAAAAGTTGCAACTAAGCCCTGAAGCTTCCTCGCGATAAGTGAAAAACCATGAAGTAGGAATAATAGTACAAGTAGTAAGTAGTAGTTTATTTTATAAATATATATTTTATTTATTTTTCTTCTTTAGCTGCTCCCTTTTTCAGGGGCTGCACAGCGAACCAAGTCACACGAAGACTTAGTGATTATTTTTACTCCGGATGCCCTTCCTGACAACCATAGACCTCTGTGTGGAGCAGAGAGCTACTATCTAGGACACCCGGAGGAGCAGATGGTGGGGGTTAAGGGCCTTTCTCAAGGGTCCAGAGTGGGACGAATGAGGGTGGGGGCAGGTGTGGGTGCTTCACCTACCCCACCCACATTTTTGATGTTGTCGGTACCGAGGCTTGAACCGGCGATCTTCCGATCACAGGCCCACCTTCTCTAACCTCTGCGCCACAATATACAGTACATAAAGGTGTTTTAAACCCTTCCCACACTCTTGCAATATTCTAAACAATGTTTCTAAACTCTAAATGCTCTAAAAGAGCACAGAATGTCATAAAATCCGCTCTCTGCCTCTGGCTGCTCTCTGCCGTTTTCCAGCGCTCTCGGACACACCCACTTTGCTACTGCAGAGCGGTCACACTATAACATGCTGCAGGGGGGAGCTTCTCCTGCAGCTGTGGGCTGCACACAGGTGCAGCAGGTGCTAAATATTTTTTAATAATTTATTTTAAATAAAAATTCCATGCCGATTGTGCGGCTCATCCATTAATCAGCCAGTTGTGTGTCATGTCCAATCTTATTTTGAAAAACCACGATAGAGCGAGTCGGCGAAAAACAAACCACAAAGTAACGAGGGACTACTGTAAATACTAAAATAAATATAGCATTCCTACTTCGCGTTTTTTCATCTATTGCAGGGTCTGTGTGTTTATGTGTGTCTGTGTGTAGAACTACATCCTCGTGATAATCAAGGGACTACTGTATATAGTTATTTCCAACACAAACAGCAGCAGCTAGCTGTAACACTTCCTGTAGGGATGTCACATGTCTGCTGAAAAAGCTGTGTAAAGTGAATCTGTCTGGGTTTTAAAGGTTTATAAAATACGGCGTTCATCATAATAAACTGGCATGAATCTTCTTTGAGTTGGAGACGTTGTAACTTTGCTCTTGGCTCTGCTTGTTCCAGCTGCTGATTGGTTGATTTTCATTTAGTGCACAAAATACTATTAATAGCAGAGCCGAGGGATAACACATAAATGCATATCAAACATTTGTTTCCAATGCGATCCCAGGTGTTAGCTCGTCAATCTGGGCAGAATCCATCTTTATTGCTTCAAGCTGATGACGACAAAGAGCTATCTACAACAGGTGTGATAATAATTGTTCATAATCGTTCCACAGAACCCCACTTTAAACACGTATGAACTAATGCTCTATAAAAAACCCTCGCAGTCACAACTCTCACGTGTCTTCAACACAAAACTCAAAACATTTTTCACTAAAAACAATGTTTTTGTTACATCAGATAAAATCAGCATAAAGGTTAAGTTTGATTTATTGACATCTTCCTGTCAGTATGTGTGAGCAGCTACACCACACTCATTTTCCATATTTAGAGACTAAAACTCTCTTAGAAACCATTTTTCTTCGAACCACCCCCCAAATAAAATCCCACTTATTCCTCATGGGGGTAGCAAATTATTTATGCTGCCTTTGTGGAAAGAATCTTCAATTAAAATCTTGTTGCTGGAGTCTGGTCCGCATGAAATCCCTCGCCTGTTCTGGTGTTTTCATTCGTGTTGAGCATCACAGAATGAAACACCTGGGATGAGTCTATTAATCCCAAACACCTGAGAAGTGTTCGCTCACACAATCTCAGAAGGCTGACGTCGAGACGTCACTGTGGATAAAATCTTCTTTTTCACCTACATTTATACACACAGACAGAGCACTCGCACCAGAGTGTGTGTAAATTTATCTGACAGGTTGTATTTTGCTCACCGGAGTCCGTAGAGCACCGTCCCATCAGGGTGGAGCCGGATCATGCGGTTCTTGACGGTGACGCCGTGAACGAAGGACTTCTTGTCATTCAGGAAGTACGTGTCAGGGACCCACAGCTGGTCGGCCACTCGGTTATCCAGAGTCAGGTTGTAGGCGATCTCAGAGTAGGAGAGGCGCTTGTCCCGCCACGCTTGTTGGAAGTACATAGTCAAGGTGTAGTCCTGGGGAGCAGAGAGACGGGGTTTTACTTTTGTTAGAGCAGCCCTTTAAAATCAACTTACAGTATACTGAGAAGAAATGCTGGCGGTCACTGAAACACAGTTCAATTACTTTTTGGAAGCAGTACATTAAAGATAAAAATATTGAAAACAGTGGTGATTTTTAAGATTTTGGCAAAACAAGTGAGAAAATCCAGCTCAATTTAAGCATAAACACCATTCAAACTTTAAACTGCTCACTAAAAGTTGAAATGTGCATGGTTGAAGTAGCTTTTTTTAAACAGTATTTTTATTGCACCCCACCCTTCTCACACCAGATCAGTCACACATATATAATTAGTTTATAGGAGGCATTGACATGTTCGTAATAAATGACATAAGAGTCTGCCAGGTGTCCCAGAATCTTCCTGCAGAAGCCTTCAGGGTGTATCTGATTTTTTCCCAATGGATATGATATATCACCTCCCTTAACCAATGTACATATGCTGGGGGGTGTGGGTCCTTCCAGTTGTATAGAATGAGCCTCCTGGCCAGAAGAGAGCCAAAGGCGATCACATCCTTCTTGTTCTTGCTGAAGGACGTATCCACAGGGACCACCCTTAACAGTGAGATGAACGGTGATGGGTGTACAGTTTTCCCACATATCCCAGAGAATGTGTCAAAAATAGATTGCCAAAAGGTCCACAGTTTGGGACAGGTTCAGAATGTATGTAGGAGTGTAGCAGGAGTGTAGCTAGAGTGTAGCTGGAGTGTAGCTGGAGTGTAGCTGGAGTGTAGCTGGAGCTTGCTTACGATTACATGCGGGGTACAGGTTGGCTTTGATCTTGGACGGTTTGTCTTTGGACCAGTGCAGCCTGTGCTTGAATTGAACTGAACTCTATTTAATTAATATCTATGGATTTTTTTTTTTTTCATTCTTTGGTTGCTCCTGTGGTACATCCAAATGATGATTCATCACTGGTACAAATACATTGGTATTAGTTTATAAGTAATAGTTTTAATGTCACTTAATAAGTTTTCCTTTATAACATAAATAATATGGGATTTATGATAGCTAACTTTACATAGATAGTCCTGTTTAATTCATTTTGTGGAGGAGCAGAACATTTGTGATCCTCACCCTCCCAGCCATTTATATAGTGGCAACTTCCTGCTCACATTATACAGTCTGGAGAAAAGACACGAGTGTCGCTGTGGTTCCTATTCTTGCATACTACCTCTATTTTACAGATATTGTTTTTGTTATCAATGCCACCGCCCCAGTCGGAGCCTGTAACACTCCCTTCCTCAAGGGTCGCCACAGCAAACTAACTCACATGAAGACTTGCCGATTGTTTTTACACTGGATGCTTTTCCTGACACAACCACAGACCACCGAGCTACCACAGCCCTCTGTGTGGAGCAGAGAGCTGCTATCTAGGGTGCCTGGGGGAGCAGATGATGGGCGTTAAGGGCCTTGCTCAAGGGTCCAGAGTGGGGCCAAAGAGGGTGGAGGTAGGTGTGGGTGTTTCATTTTTCCCACCCATATTTTATATTGGTCCGGGGAGTCAAACCAGCAACCTTCTGTAACCTTGTCTTCTCTAACCTCTGCACCACCACTCCCCACATGAATATCTATGGATATGCAATAACTGATTTCTGAGTCAACCTCATCCAAGATGGCCGCCACAGCCAACTGATATTAAAGATAACAAAATGGCTACAACGCAGATGATTTTACATAAATTGATCTAAAGTTTGGTGTGGTAGTGGCTGAGACTGATCCTTAACATATGTTCTGAGCATCAATAAATCACAAAAGATCTTTGTTTAAAATGTTACCATTAACCACTTGAAGTCAACTCAGTCTGTTAGCAAAATATTGCATGAACCATTGCGCAGGTTTTAATGAAACGTTCAGGAAATATTCAGTAGATGGGCACCTACAACTGATTACTCTGGAAGCAACTCAATTCAAGATGGCCACCACAGCTGGCTGACCTTAGAAAACACATGCATGGCTGTAACAGACAAATGTACAAATGTTTTGCCTAGACTTGGCATGGTAGTAGCTGAGAGTCATTCACAACACGTATTTCACGTTCTATTCATTGCACAAAATGTTTACTTCAAACTTAAACTTTTAATAGTCAACCCTGTTTGTCTGTTAGCAAAATATATCTTGAGCCACTAAATGGACATTAATGAAACTTTCAAAAAGTAATTATTGAATATACATTTACAGATGGTTAACTTTTTGAGTCAATCCAATACAAGATGGCCACCACAGTGAATCAGCCTTAGCCAAGACAAAAATGGCTACAAATCAGTCAGTTTTACAGATATTGAGCTAAGATCCGTTGTGGTAGTAGCTGAGAGTCATTGCTAGCACATCCTCTGAGTGTGGTATTTTATGACATCACATGAAACTGTGCATTCTCAATATACAATTGTCTCATTGCACATCTCTGATGTGAAACATGGTGGGTGAGAAGCGACCCATCAAAGAGTTACAGCTTAATTTAAAAAAATATTTCTGGGCTTTGAAAATGAAAAATAATGATATACATTGAATTTGATTCTTTAAAAACTTCTTCAGAAAGTTTGTAGTTTTCTCTCAAATCTGGCAACAATCCTTGAATATTGTGAGTCTCTATAACTTTCTCATCTGGCAGACGGTCTCATGCTCAATACTTCAGCTTCCACTTGAGTGAATAAAGTCACTTTATCTTAAAAAAAAAATGAATTCCTTCTTGGAAATGCAAACAGCTGAGGCTCTCTGCCTCTGCTGTCTGGTTTTACGTAATAAACATTCCAGCTACCAAGATTCAAGACAGTTTCCCAGATTCCACCTCAGACAAGGAAAAGGCCGTTTTTGTACTGTACAGTTTGTTTTTACACGTGCTCAGAGGTGTTGTGCTGAACGGTACCTCCTCCTCCTTCTGCTCTCTCTTCTCTGCTTCTCACTATTAAAAAAAGACCTAACACCCACACAGCCACAGTAAAAACACAGCTCCTCAGTCGGATCTGCTTGGTTACAGCTTTTTGTGGGTGCAATCGCCAAGTGGGGAAACAAATTCAAAAATACAGCTCGTGAGACAAGCCCCTAAAGCTTTTTACTCCGTCATCATTACCCATCACAGCATATTTTATGTTTCCAAGCCTTTTTTAAATGTATTTCCATCCCAACATGCCGGTGTGACACTGCAAAGCAACCACCACGTTCAGTCAACTTTTAGCATTGATTGATCAGCGTGCACAGGCAAAATATGTATAAAGAGCATCTCAAAATATATGAGCCATGTCCTTTATGTCAGGAATGTAAAGTGAAGCCAGGACAGCTGCATCCTGTTTGGAGGAGAGTTACTGGCTGCCTCTCCATCTCATAATCAGCTCAAATGATCTAACATCTCCACCACCTTTCGTTATCCAGGATCTGCTGCCTGCACACTGAGGCAATTCAAAACCACCCACAGCACCATTTTCTTATGGTGATGAAATACTCACTGAGACAATTAAAGAAAGAGCAGAAAATATTAACTAGAGAAATTGCATTTCCCGCAAAAATGCAGTGTCAATGTATATTTTTGAAGAACTTGCTGAAAATCAGCTGAAATTAGCTAAAAATATGCTGAATTGTAAACTGAAATGGAAGGACAAGCCTAGGGTAGCAGAAGAAAGTATAAAGAACTCATATTTGCTGAACGTGGTTTAAATAATTAGCACAAAAATTAGTAAATTAGCTTAAAAAAGCTGAAATCAGGGGAAAAAAATAGCTGAAAAGTAGTTGAAAAGGCAGGAAGAAGCTTAAATTACCAGACAAAAGTGGAGAGAGCACAGCTGTGCCCAATTAGGCTGAAAGAAGCAGAAATGAGCACAAAAAGTGGAATTTATCTGAAAAAAAAATTAAACCAGCAACAAAACAGCTGAAGAGTAGCTAAAAAGGCAGAAAAAAAGCTTAAATTTAAAGGAAGGATATGGAGGGAGCACATTTTTGCTAAATTTGGCTTTAAAACGTTGAAATGAGTGCCAAAAATGGGAAATTAGATAAAAATGTTAACATTAGCATAAAACAGCTAAATAGTAGCTGAAATAGCAGAAAAAGCTGAAACTTGCAGAAATAGGCTGAAAGGAACTTAACAAGCTGAAATTAGCAGAAATGAGTTAGAAGAAGCACAAAATTTTTGTAGTTAGCATAAATAATATGAAAGGAGCACAAAACAGCTGAAAGAAGAGCTGAAATTAGCTGAAAAAAGCTTAAATTTACACAAGGGAGCTGAAAGAAGCTGATTTTGTAGCTGCTTGTACAGGTCTGGTAGTTAGCTAAATATATGAATTACAGGGCAGAATTGAAAGAAACTCTCAGAATTGAATCACTGAATGTAACTTGGATGTTGCTCGACTCGAGCTGGCTGCTGAGTCTGATGAACCTGAGAAAACACAAAAATAGCTACCGCCGTCATTTTATTATTTTTTTTTACAGATGATTTGCTAGAATTTGGTGTGGTAGCTGGAAGTCATCCCTATCACATACTACAAAATCTAACTGATCGTCATCATCAAACTTTATGTAGAAAGCACTTTCTATACAACATAGCGATACATAAGAAAAAAGAATAAAAACTTTACAAACTGGTAAATGATAAAATAATCAAAGGCCTGGAGTTTCTTGAAGGCATATTTAATGTCCGCCACCTTTCTGTTCAGAGTTTATCTTATTTTGAATAAACGTCAAGGTTATAGCCATTTTTGTCAAACCTTGAAAATAACATTATATTATTATCATTATTAATATTATTGTATCAGAGCAATAACTCTCAGCTACCACCAACACAAACCCTATCCTAGCCCTGTGTTGTATGGAAAGTATAAATAAAGTTTGATGGTTGGTAACAATCAGTGAGTGCTCGGAGTATGTGAAGGGGATGACTTCCAGCTACTACCACAGCAAATTTGAGCTCAATATCTAAAACAAAAATCAAACAAATCAGGCAGAAGCTTTGTTTGATGCAAGCCAGCGGGCA